ATATATATATATATATATATTAGGCCTGCTGCCCCTTACTGAGGATAAAATCCTATGGATTTAATGTTGGCCATGGGGCATAATTGATTCTATCGGCTCACAGCATAGAAGGAAAAGGTTGAGAAAAACAACACAATGGGAAAAGATCAGAGGTTGTAATAACAGCAATATAACATGGCTTTGTCCTTGGTGCTTCACACCAACAGCAATCATTACATCTTTGTGACTCAAAATCAACTGTTCACCCCAAACTAATTTCTTCTCCCCAGCTAAAAGAAAAGTGTAGTCCTTACGTTTTTTTTAATGACTATGGCTTTAACATCATCTAGTCATGTTCTTTGTTAATTGAAAAATTAGAAGGAAAAAGTCAATCAGTTGAAAAACATATCCAGAGAAGGGCAGCATGGTGAATTTGGTACATCCTACAGGTAAAAAGACATGAGAGCTCTTTGTATATATGTACTTAGTGTGTCCCTTATTTATTTGTTTTCTTACAGAAATCCTAAATGGAGGTGTTTATGTTGACCAAAACAAGTTCTTGTGCCATGCGGACACAATCCATTGGCAAGATATCGTCAAGTACCCAAGGATCCAACCTGTGGTGGTGCCCACCAACAGCAGTGTCACATGTAAGTAACCCAAATGGTACACATGAAGAAAATGAGAAAAAATTATTTGCAAAAGCCAAAAAAGGCACTTAAAATGTATGGATATCCAGGAAAGCCCAACAAAAATCTGAATCAGTGGAAAGATGATATCAAAAACAACGTACCTGTCCAACGTTTCCATTTTATGCTTTTCCTCTCCAAAGCATGAAGTGTAGATGCATGCAAAACATTTCAGAGAGTTGTAGTAAGCTGGAGTAACAACAGAGAGAGAGATTTTGTTTCAACCCAACGTGAAAATAATCACAGTATTTAAACAGACATTATTAGCACATTTACATGTAAACACATATTAGCCGCCTAGCTTAATTGTTTCTGGCAATTAAGGACCATGGAATGTACTTCACACATTTTTTGCTCACTACCAACTTCTTGGTTTTAAACATATTATCTCCCCCCACTGGTAATGCAACTTCTGCATGCAGTAATGCAATTTCTCCATGCATGTCCATTTCACGTTTTGTAGAAATGGACAAGGTGGACTGGCGTGTCTATTACATGTTTTTCTGCGATACTGGGTTCCATCAGATGTCGGTAATAACCTATCCAATCCACACATGCAAAGAAATCAAACCATAGGATGTCCATAAATTATTTTATGTGTAATAATGAGAAATGACACAGGGGAGAACTATTGAAGAAGTAATGCATGAAGAAAGGGAGGTGTAAAAAGGCATGGAATGTCATGACACAAGCTGAAATCTATCAGTAATTAAAAAGCAATCCTGCCACTTTAATGCAAATTAATATCAGCCGGTTATGTCCCAACTGATGGCCTATAAAAAGGTGTCTCATTACAAAGGTGTCACACAAGAAACATGATGGGTAAAACCACTGAGCTCTCTCAACACATTTGCAACCTTATTGCTGCAGAACACACTGAAGGCAATGGTTGCAGAAGAATTTCTGAACTACTTAAAGTTCCAGTGAGCTCTGTTGGGGCCATAATCAAGACATGCTTTACCATAAACCTGGTGTAGACGACCAGGTGTGCCACAAGATTTCAGACAGAAGAGTAAATAGATTTATCAGAAGAGTTCTCCAAGAGTCAAGGGCCACTTGTAGAGAGCTACAGAAAGACATTGAATCAGCGCATGCAATTGTTTCAAAGAAAACGATAAGTAATACTCTCAGCCAACATGGCTTGTATGCAAGCTCACCATGCAAGACTCCTTTGTCGAAAAAAAAAGCATGTTGAAGTGTTTTTAACGTTTGCTAAAAAAGCAATTAGACAAACCTGTGAAATACTGAGACAATATAGTCGGGTCAGAGGAGACCAAAATTGAAGTCTATGGAACATAACAACACCATAACGACAGTGTTTGGAGGTGGGAACATCATACTGCACTGGCACACTTCATATAATTGAAAGACAGATGAATAGAAAACTGTAACAAGACACAAGACATTCTTGATAAAAATCTGCTATGAATATGAAACAAGGGTGGATGTTTCAGAAAGGCAATGATCCCAAAATAAAGCTGCTAGTATGGCCCATCCAGTCACCTGAGCATATGCCGAGTATGGCCTGGAGGTCAAAATGGGACACATTCCCTAGTGTGGGTGAGAATGACCGAGCTAGATACAGAAAGACAAACTGGTGATGGCTAACCAGCCGGACATAGTGGTGGTGGACAAGCAGAAGAAGACTGCTGTAGTGATAGATGTATCTATACCGACTGACAGCAACATCAGGAAAAAGGAATATGAGAAGCTGGAAAAGTACCATGGGCTGAGAGAAGCGCTCGAGAAGATGTGGAGGGTGAAGGGAACATGGTCCCTTTTTTTGTGTGTGGGTGTGTGTGTTTGTGTGCATTCTGTTGTTTTATGTATGTAATACACTTTTATACATTGAGTGAGTTACTGTTGCCCAATACCTTATTTCAAAGTTTTACCAATCAAACTTTTACCAAATAGGCGTTGTTGTTGTTTTTTGTTTATTTAGTTTATTTATGGTATATATTTAAGGTACATTTAGTTTTGCAACTGATAGACAGTTTTTTTCCCTTTTAAACAACCTAATAATAATAATAATAATAACCTTTCACACATCATAATTTCTCTCACCTGTCTTTTAATTTATTTCTTGATTAAAAAAAAAAAAAGTAGCTGAGACAGTGTACCCTGATAATGAGGGTAGCAGATGTGATGGCTCAGTTGCTTAAACAAACTTGAATGAAGTCACGGCCACTCTACCTGGCAGTTTCTGTAACTCAAGTTTGCAGGAATTTGTGCTAATTCTGAATTAGTCTTTGAAAATGTCTTTTCACAATTATTCCCCACACACTTGCCAAGGTCTTTCAGTGGCAGGTTATTTTTGACAAAGGAAAGGATCCAGAGGAGGCCCATTATCACAACCTGGTCGATTCACAATAAATGGCTGAATGTGAGCAGCAAAACACTGTCATCACAAAATCACCCTTTGACCCTATTCTGTCACCCTGCTTACCATAACAATTCACAATGACTGCTAGCTCACATCACTTAAATGTCCTTCTGTAGCCAGCTGGAAGACCCGTTAATGAATGCATAGCATTATGATGGGATTTATTAGTGTGAAATACACATACTCAATCTGTCAGAGGACAGGGGATGATCAGTGAAATAACAATGCATTTACTGATCTCCTCTGACCCATTATTATTAATTTGCTGACTAAACCTCTTAGCATACTCGTTTCTTTTTGTTTTTAATTAACATTAATTTCTCACGCTTTTTGACATTTAAATCCAATGTTGTTTTCACGTTTTTTTTTTCAAACTGTCTCATCTCATTCATTTACAAATGGAAACAAATAAACAAATGATAAAATACGCTATCACTGACTCTGATATAAACAAACAGACTTTTCCTTTTTGATGCATATGTCCTTGGAATCATCTCATAGTACTAGCTGAGGGCTTCAGATGCATGCTAAAAGCTCCAAGCATTGATATTCTGCTCAATCACCCTCCTCCCTGCAGCCCTGTTAGCCCTTGATCGACCCCGACTCCTTTGCAAGTCTTCCACCCTCGCTGAAAGATCAAGGGTCTGCAAACTTGTAATCCACAATTGAGAACATAATCTCTGTTTTATTTTTTTGTGGCGACACAAGCTTCATGTTGTTTTGCTTGTGACTTATTTGTGCCATGGTTGTGTTATGTTATTGGTTTCAAAATAGGACTGTGATCTTTTTTTCTGTTTTTTTTTAACTGATGCCCTGTTGATTCTGTTTAAACACCTCCATCTTTCGCTTGCTGTACACTGACGCTGGTATGGCAGCAGTTTCAACATTTTAACCTTCAGGGGATGTTAAAGATTACGGTGCATTCCAGGAAAGGGGGTTTGACGGTCTTATACAAGGTCATTGAGGATTTAGAGGCTGAGATAGTGAAGGCCATGGTCACTGAATGAAAACTCTTTGACTTGACTTCCTGGGGCACATAGCACGGAGAAGAACAAAGAATTAAGGAAGAACAGCAGAAGTTCTGCCTGAATGGCTGGCGGACATTTGTATTAATATCCCATTTGTATACTGCTTTCATACAGACAAAGCTGCCAGCCTTTCTCTCAAATTTTACTAAATTGTCAGTTCAATAGGGACACACTGGAGAAACAGAAAAAAATTGAGAAATGTAGTGGTTTAAGAAAAAAGGGACAGGAATAGGCACTAAGGGAAAGAGAGCTACAGAGGAGTGATGAATCTATAAGTGATGGGTGAAGAGAAAAATGTGTAGTAGATAGGCTCAAAAATGAGGAAGAAGAAGAGGGCAGAAGATGGAGATTCTCATGTTGAGCAATGGAGTCAGTCGGATGCTAATAGCTCTCATCTGGAGAGGCTGATGGACAGAGGACAGCACTTCTGCACTTATCCAGACTCTCTTCTCCCAGCAGTCAATTACTAGACAGTCAATTAAGTCCTCCAAAAACCCAGAAAGGCACTGGCTAAAGCTCTGAGGGTATGATGCTGCTTACCGCTCCTTTACTGCTTTTATCTCAACCTGATGTGTGCTGGCTTCATGCTGGGCTGGTTTAGCGTGAAGTGGCAAAAAGAATCATCTCATTTCCCCAAAATAACCTGTGCCAAGGTTATTTTGGATTTTATTACCACAACAGCATATATCAGTCAAGGAAGATGGATCTTTCCTGCCTTAAAATATATATGTATAAAAAAAAACATTAATGTTGAGAATTCACAAAGGTTTTTTTTCTTAACTCTTAAGATTGTATCAGTTAAATGTAGTATCATCGTCATATTAATGAAATTAACTGCTGCATGCTACTTGCAGTACCTACAGTTCAATAATTACAATCATAATTGCAATGATGGCAATAACTTTAATTATTTGGTGCCTTTAAAGAGTTTTTGTATAAAGAGTTTACAAACTGCGCTGGCAGACAAGCATAAGCAGGACTCAAACAGAAAAGAAGGACCAAGAGCCAAAAATAAAAAGAAGAACATTAGCACAAATTGCACAATTGTATCCCTAAAAAATACCAATAAAGGGTTTTGAAGGAAGTCAATGAACATTAAAATCTAAAAATCAATCCTAACATGTACAGGATTATATCCAGGAAGAAGTTGAGCTGTTGCATAACTAGGCGAGAAAGACACTATTGTGGTATAACAGAAGAAAGACTTATTCAAAGTTTTAAAAAGGTCACAATTGCTCAGTGTGAGCAAACAGAATGCACCTATGCATGCATATCCAAAGAAAAACATACAAATAGATATTAAGTGAATTCAAAGTTAAACCACATGATCCTCCATAGTTTTGTTCACTATGTGAGTTTGGTTTGCCTTTGGTTGAGTGCTTGAAGACAAACTCCAGCAGCAATTCTCTGGTCTGTTTTAAGGTTGAATGACACTGACAATAGTTTGTGACGTTGCAGTTTGAAATGCCAATAGTCTCTTTCCTTGAACCTCTGTGCAGGTCAAAAATGCCACCGTTCCTGCAATGGCCGTTGCTGGGGACCCAAAGAGGACCAGTGCCAAAGCTGTAAGTTAATTATTATTATCTGATTAGAACTTCGAGTTGTTAGAATCACCACTGAGTGACTTTTTCATGCATCAAAACTTTACTGATAACTGTTGTGGGTCAAAAATAAAATTTAGCATTTCTTTAGCATACCTGGCAATGTACTTGGAACGAGATTCCAAGCTTTATTTAGTGGATATACCTTTGGATGTCATTTATGTATACATCCATGTGACTCCATCTAAGGCAGGGGTCTTGAACTCCAGGCCTCAAGGGCCGGTGTCCTGCAGGTTTTAGATGTGTCCTTGATCCAACACAGCTGATTCAAATGGCTAAATTACCTCCTCAACATGTCTTGAAGTTCTCCAGAGGCCTGGTAATGAACTAATCATTTGATTCAGGTGTGTTGACCCAGGGTGAGATCTAAAACCTGCAGGACACCGGCCCTCGAGGCCGTGTGTGTGTATATGTGCGTGTATGTGCGTGAACAGTGTTATGAACTGTGAGACTTGTTACTGCAGCATCTTTCAGTTTGAAAACAGGAAATGAAAGTGCCATTTTTGTAAATGACAAATCTTTTATTCTTGAATTAAAGTTGAGTCATCTGTTTGATTGGGCAAATTTCACTAAATCACAATATCAACTTTGAGACATTAGACACTGGGCCAAAAACAATTTTCCAAATAATCAAAGACCTTTATCTTTTTGCTCACTTGTTGATATTTTGCATTTATTTTGTTTGGTTTATACTAGTCATAAAAAGAAATACAACTTTGTGTTAAAATATAGACTGTATTGACCAACACTGTAATATGTGTGTAGATAGATATATTAGCTGGGGACAACCATAACCATAATATTATGTAGTTTCACAGGCAAAATTACAAAAATAGTTTAGTCAGCCTGTTTGATACATTGGTGACAAAGGGTTAAGTCTTTAGTTTAACCCAGGGGTCTCAAACTCCAGTTCTCGAGGGCCGGTGTCCTGAAACTTTTCCATGTGTCCCTGTTGCAACACAAATTAATAAAATTAGTAGGTCATCAGCAAGGGTATAGAACTTGACTGCATGCTGGATTGGTAACTCCTAAGTAAATGTAAATGTTTGGAAAAATGTACTTCTAAAAGTACTTTTATTGCACCATGATCATTCACTGATGAACTGCTGTAACATGAATCAAATGGCTGAATTGTCACCGCAGCATGCAGTCAAGTTCTATAGAGTCTTGCTGATGACCTGTTAACTGTATTCAGGTGAGGTAATTCCTAAAGTGCAAAAACTTGGCATGTCTTTAGCATGGTGTGCAGTGTGTTCTTAAATAGAAAAAAACTTGAGGAAACTGGACAAGTGGAGGACAAAAGAAGTGGTAGGTCTAAAAAAGCAGATGAAAAGTATCAGAAAGTCATGCCCCAAGAAATATATATTTTAAAAAACCCAGCAAAGACCTCATAGAGGACCTGAGAGGAGAGGACCATCCAGCCCTTCAGTAGAACCATCTACTGTTCACCGAAGCTTCTTTAGAAATGGTCTAAGTGAAAGAATGGCTGTCAAGAAGCTAGTCCTAATCAAGAGAAACAGGGAAAAAGGCAGAGGTATGCCACATTACACAAGAGCTGCACTGCAAATCAGTGGCAACAGGTGTTTATGGAAATAAGAGGCAGGATTGAGGACAGTAGTTTGTAAGCATATTACTCACAAACTAAGCGCAACCCCATGCTGCCTCTGTGGAAACGGGACATGAGAATATCACCAATAAATTAGCATCTAAAATTATATTTGAATTCCATAAAGTGAAGGTTTTCCTGCTTGTTGCCCCAAAGGGATGACATCAGATTTTTCTTTGGGGTTTTTTTGCTGTTGAAAGTCATCATTTCTTTTGAGGAGACTGTATGCTCTCCAAATTAACACACATGATATTCTGGTATTTTAATGAACACAGCTCCACAATGCAAAGGAATTTTAGCCTCAAAAATGTATAATCAACAGATCAGATCAAAATAATCAAAACAGGGATGCTCTTTAGATCATTGTGTCTGTGAAGGTTCTCAGTCATCCAGGTCATCGTAGTCAAGCTCCTTTGACTCTTTAGATCATTCTGTCAAGCAGAAAGTTTGATGTGGCTTTGACTGGTATTAAATAGACGTCGTTACACGGATTTTATTAGTACTACTGGTTGGAAATTTCTAAAAAACAAAGTTTTACCAGCAATTTAAAAATCAGACAAATCTTCTGTGTTAACCTTATTAAAGATCATTAATACAAAAATCCTAGATTCAAGGACAAAAAACAAGATCATCTACATTCACTGATTAAATTACTTGCAGTCTACAAAAGGAAAAACATTTTACACAAGGCTGTGATGAGTGGTTGTTTCTTGTCTTCACCTATGAGGAAAGCTCTTATTTTAAACCGGATCATTAAAAGATAACAAAAGTTTCACTGTGATGCAAATGATGTGTGACAGCCTAACAGCAAGTAGTGAAACAGGAACAGCAACAATCCCTCCATTTTAACATTGTTCTACAGTTCTGAAAAATACAAAACAAGGTTTTTTAGAAAAAAGATATTTGGAGAATGTTGTAAGAGAGGGTCTGTCACATATTTTCTGATGATGATTCCCGCACCTCAGGCATGGGGAGTGCTGTTTAGGTTGGGAACCGGTAATGATTGTGATGCTAATGATGGTTTTGGCTCTAATACCTGTCAGGAAAAGCAATTCTTAATTGTCTACAACATGTTTCTGACAAGGCATAGCCTCATCTGGATGTGATGCAAGCCGTCACCCATCTGTGCATGGACTGCACAAGTGTTTAGACCTGCTGTTGAGGAATTGCTCTCCATTCCTGGATGAGTGCAGCCTGCAGCTGTGTAATGCTCACTGGTTGTAGCTGCATTTGAAGAAATATTGGGTTTAAATGCTGGCCAAGCAAGTGTCTGGACATGCTCCTGATCCAGAAAGGCCTTAACTGCCCTGGCAGTGTGAAGGTTGGCTTTGTCCTGCTGAAACAGCCACGGGGCTGGGATCCTGCTGCAAGAATTGCACAAATGCATGTTGGAGTATTTCATTTTTACTCTATCCATTCAAATGTTGACCAAGTCGACCAATAGGCAGATCAGAAATCGTTGTCTCATGGACATGAAAGGCTGCAGCAACAGCTAAGTCATGCATGCCAGCATCCAGCATCTGGTCTCATTCAAATTTAGTCAGTAGCAGCACGGCAGCACTGACGACAATGTTGTGCATATTCTGATGCTTCAGAATGCAATTAACTTAACGAGTTCTGAGGTGTTCGGTAAACATTGGCTAGAGAGAGAGATTGGCTAATGCAACATGCTTATGCCTACACAAGTAAACATCAAATAAGGCCATTCCTAAGTATAGTTATATTTACAATATTGGTTACCCCAAAAACATTAAATCATTTTTAATAATAAAATTAATTTAAAAAAAATTATATTTTTACTAATACTAAAGAATTATTTTGTTACAATTGCATTGTTTTCCAGCGTGGTTCAGTGTGACTGTGCTTAAATTAATTAGGTGTCATAAAATGGTATTTTTTAAGGCTGCACTTTTGTTAATATTTAGCTCTACAAGCCCTCTTCACAGCCCACAGTGGCTCACCCTTCTGTCTGTGTTTAACACATACTAACATCCACAGGAAGACTTCATATTTAGTATATTTTTGACCTATAGCAAACTGTATGTACACATTTAGTTTTAGTCAGAAACAAAATTATGTACTCACATGGACACATGCTCACATTTTTTTCCTCATTACATACCTCTTTACCTCTCACGTTCCTTTTTTTTTTATTGTACCACCCTTCATCAAGTTCTTGCTCTTTGTCCATCACTTCGTACTTAGACCACTTCATCTATGCCTTCCAACCCTGGCATGTCACATCTTATTTGTTCTGTGGTTGTGATCTCGTTAAGATAATGAGGAATGAACTGTTTGACCAGAACCTGTTAACAACACGTCACAGAGGAGGCCCAGATAAGCCCTGGCCCCATCTATCTGCCTTGTTTCAGCTGTGATCGCGCCATCTCTCTATCCTCATCCATTTATTTGTGGATGCCATGATTCATCTTTTATTTTACTTGCTTTCAAAAAAGAAGAGCTTTTTTTCTTGCACTGGAATGCTTTTAATTATGAAGTTTAATTATGACGAACCAAATACACCAAGGAAGTAAATTACAATTCAAAACCACTCTCTTTACTGAGTCTCTCACATAAAAAACTGGATCTCTGTCAGCAGAGGTAGTTTTTTTTTTCCATAGAAGTACATGTTATGTTCTATAAAAGGATACAGGATAAAGTACTCACACCTGCTCTAAACGAAACAGCAATTTTTATTAGTTGTACCACTGGCTGCAGAGATCGCAACTGACAAGTTCTGTGGTCCTTGATAATAACAGATGACATCAGACCCTTTGAACTGGGTGGTGATTGTGGTATAATATATAT